AGGGTAGGTGGCTGCACCCATATTCTTCTGTCCTTTTCTGGGAGCAAAACCATTGTTGGCAGGGCTGTGTGGACTTCTCTGCCTGTGAGGACAGCACCTAGGCTCTATTGGCACCATAATTCAGGGGAGCAGCTCTGGTTTTCTGGGTGCTCTTGTAAGAAGCACAGGTTAGGGAAAGGGAAATGGCTTCAAAACCTTCGGAAGCACAAGGCTTTCTTTATACATTGAATTCCTCTACGTTGGCCTTTGTGACAGATGAGGGTTGTAAACCAGAGCAGGGATTCTCAGATTTTTGTGCACATCAGAAATCACCTGGTCATTCTTTTAAAACACGTATTTCTGAGCCTCACTCCCAAGTTCCTGACTTAGCAAACTTGGGGTGAAGCCTGAGAATTTTCTAACAAGTTCCCAGATGATGATGTGGTCCACTTTGAGAACTAGTGAATTAGAGTGAAGTCCTTTCCATCCCCGAGTGTTGTGATGGCACTGCTGGGGTTTGGAAGCACAGAGACAACTCTCCCCACGTCTCAGGCTTGGAATTCTGGGCTCAGGCATGTTTACTGATGGGGCAAGGGTTCTTCCAGGGCAAGGAATGGGGACAAAAATGGAGACAATGGCCATATGCAAGTAGGAGGGAGAAACAATGACATCTCCTCAAACTGGCATTTTTACCATTCAAAATAATCCTAAGAACTGTATGATGTCTGGACAATTATCATCTCCCCTCTACAGATGAGGAATGTGAATCTCAGATAGTAAGTAACTTTCCTAGAAACATACAGCTGGCAAGTGGGGGCACAGGGCGGGAACTCAGGATTGACTGACTGTTGTACTTGTTCTGCAGCTCCTTGGAAGCAGCACAGCCTGAAGCCAGACTGTCCTTGGCAGCAGTGTGAAACCTGGCTCCACCACTTACCTGCTGTGTGGTCTCTGGAAGTCACTCACCCTCTCTGTGCCTCAATTGGCTTACCTACAAAATGGAGGTAACAGTGGTTCCTACTTCGCTGGGTTGTTGCAAGGATAACTGAATTAATATTTATGCAGTGCTTAGAACAGTACGGGGCACATAGCACCACTATATAAATGCACTGAAAATAAACGTGGCTACTCACAGTGCACATATACATCGCATCCCTCCAGAGGACAAGCTCAGGGAGAAAGCTCAGAGATCATCTAGCACCCAAAGACAGGGCAGGCAGAAACACTTAAAAAAATTTAAAGCCTCAAATTTAGGGGTTTAGGAAGAACTCGGCCTTTGGTGGGGTCAGGGACAGCTCAGAGTGGCGACGACCACGGACCCCTGGCCCAAAGCCCCAGAGTCCCCAAACCAGGCTAAGCTCTTCTCTCCAGGCTGCTCCGCTTCAGGATCAGACTCCAGAGGACCAGTCTGGGTCCCCACGTCCCCTCCCGCTCGACATCCCCAGCCCAGGCGCTCCAGGTTTCCTGCCCGCTCGAGGGCTCCCTCTGGTGCGGGCGGAGGAGGGGTGGCATTTCCTGGCGGGGCCGCGGGCAGCGTCACTTGCTCCTGGACACTCGGACAGCGCGCTGACCGACAGGCACCAGATGCTATTTCGGGCGGCGCCCCGCTCAGCGCGCAGTTTCCGTTTTTCCACCGACCGTCGGAAACCGCGAAGGGGGGAGGGTGTAGACGTCACAAGCCCCCATCCCCAGGCGGGGGAGGGGGCGGGGGATGGGAGGGTTGGGAGACAGGTCAGGATAGCTGCCAGACTGTCAGTATCTGGAGCTTCGCTAATAGAGGGGGTTGGGGAATGTCACCTCTTCCCTGCTGCGGTGCTGACAAAAGCCTTGCAGGTCTCTGTTCCTTCTCCTCAGCCTTGGGGTGCCCGGCAGGTCATTTAATGTCCTGTAAAATAATCCAGCAGCCTGTTTGTGCCTCCAGGGCATCAGGGCACCTAAACTCAAGAAATTCAAAACCAAATGCAGAATCCCTCCCCATGCCAGTTGGCTTACAAGCTCCCATCTAGGCAAATACAGCCAGAAACCCAGAGGTTTCCTGGATTTCTGCTTCCTCCTCACCCCCCAAACTCAGTTCTGACAAACCAATTTTGTATCCTAAACACATGTCACCTGTATCTGCCTCTCGCCATCTCTCCTGCTAGCACCCTTGTCTGCACTCCAATCCGTCTTCCCTGGACCACAGCATTGGCCTCAAAACTGGTCTCCCCACATCATTCCTGCCCCCTCACACTCTTTCTCCACCTTTCAGCCAACGGGCTTTCTAGAAAAGCAAATCTGATTCTGTATTAAACATTATACCCCCTAGGGTTCCCTCCATCACAAATTATTTAAATTGTTCACAGCCTTGCTCCAGCCCATAATAGACTTCTCTGTTTCTTTCATGAACTTCAAGCCTTTCTGCTCCAGCCTTTGGCCCACCTGGAAAGTTCTCAATACTCACTCTTCTACTCACCCCTCAGAACCCACTGTCCGATCTCAGTCCAGGCATCAGTTCTCAGAGAAGCATTCCCTGGCTGGGCTCTCCCTTTTTGCAGGGGCTCAGAGATGTGAAATGACTTGTCCAATGGTGTCACAGCCCAAGGGTGGCAGTGCTGGGCTTTAAACTCAGAGTTATATGACTTCCTCTCTTTCTATTAAGTGATGCAGCCAAGAAAAGGCAACAAGGACCAGAGGAGGGAGAGATGAAAGCCAACCACCCCCTCCACACCCCCAGCCCCTCCACCCTCCTTTGCAGAGAGGCTTCAAGAAGGAAGGGGCAGAAAGGCTGGATCTTGAAGGACAGATGTGAGAGGCAGAGGACAGTAAGGCAGAAGCTGATACACAATGGAGGGTAAGTTGGATTTGATAACAGTGGGTGAAGTGGGGCTGGAGCCATGGGAAGAGAGTGAGAGATGGGACTGAACACACCACAGAGGCCCATCCTCTGGGTCCCTGCTGAGCAGCTGGTGTGGCTGAGCCAGCAGAGGCCCTGTGGCAAGTCCAGGAATTAGGTACTTTTTCTCAAGACATGGGTAGCCCTTCTCCTATGAGATTTTGTAAAAGTTACTGGTATCCACATGGTACCCTGACTTCCACCAAACCGCACAAGAGGAACAGAGGGGACAGGCTACACTGAATTAACTGTATCTTCACTGAGAGTCACCTGATGGTGAAGAGAGGCCAGGACTCAGACTTCGACCACACTCTGGGCTCAGTCCTTGACTGGGGGACTCAGTCTGTGAATTCTCAGATTCCAAAAGGACCTCAAAACCAAAATGCTGGAAGGACAAAGCAGCCTTGCATGGTGGGGAGAGTTGTGGACTGGGAACTGGATGACTGAGTTTGGGTCTTGGCTTTTCCTCTAGATCACTGTAGCTTTGGCCAAGTCATATCTCCCTGTGACTTAATTTCCTTCTCTAAAATGATAACTAGAACTCCTGCACAAGTGCATACAATGTCACCCTGGGTTCTGGGCTGGGCAAGGTTCGATAGGTCATTGCCCTCCCCACCTTTTAAAGATCATCTTATATACCTCACATCAGCTCTCTGAGGTATGTGTTATCTCCCCATTTTAGAGATGAGGAAACTAAGGTTCAGAGCTAAGTGACTTGCAATATTTGAGCCTCCATCATAAAAGAATGAACCCAGATACCCTCTATTGACTGAACTGATTGCCCACCCCTCACTGAACCCAGATTTCTAGGCCACAGTACAGATCTTGGCTCCTGCAGTGAGCTGAGCCCAGATCCCTCCTCCAAGCCAGGGCTCTAGCTTCACTTCTTCATCAGCTGGGCTCCAGAGAGGACCCTGGTGCCCAATTTGCTTTCAACACAGGCTCCACCACTCACTAGATATGTAACGCTGGGGAAGTTACTTTTACTCTCTATGCCTCCATTTCCTCATCTGTAAATTGATAATAATAGCACCAACCTCTTAAGATCGTTTATGGGAACTAAATGAGTTAATATTTGCACAGTGCTTCAGTAGGAGATTAAAATGTTAAATTATGAGGGGAGGGATGTTCTTTGGCTCTGGGCTCAGCCTGAAACCCACTAGAATGGACATTTTAATCTGTCCGTTGACATCAGCCCTGTCTCCATACAGCCCCTGGATGTGACCTGTGTCCCATCATTCAGGCAAGCAGGCTCCATTTTAGAGCAGAAAAGAGCCCGGGTTGAAGGGGGAGGGCATCGGGAGCTGGGGAGTTTTCTGGGATAAGAGGAACTGCCCATTGAAATCTTGGTAACCAGGACCCTACGATGAATGGATGCGGGGCAAGGAAGCGTTGAGAGTGATGGTTTTGGTGGTGTGGTCTTGCTGGGGTGAGAGTTTCTGAAGAAAGGTGTCGAGAAGGCCAGGGACTGAGGTTGTGGGGAACCCGGGTTTCCCAGAGGCCTCGGGATGCGTAATAAGGCTGGACCTGCTGGGTCCTAGACAGAGCGCCCAACTCTCTCTCCGCGGCGCATTCCGGAGCCGGTCCCAGAGCCGCGCAACCAGTCCCCACTCCCTCCGGTGAAATTGCCAAATTAAAATGAATCATTTGGCCCCATAATGGCCGAGGCGCTTATCGGGGGCGAGCGGACCCGCGGCAGCGCCTTATCTCCGCGGCGCACACGGCCCCCGCGCGCCTCGGCCCATGCTAACGAGGCCTAGAACGTGAGCGGGATTAGAGCACGGCGGTGGAGGAGCCGGGCGCGGCGCGGCGCGGGCGGGGGACGGGGCGGGGGGAGGGCTCGGCACTAAGGACCAGGCCTCAAAATGGCCACACGCGTCCCCCCGTAGCGGCAAAACGTGAGCATTCTGGCCTTTTTCTGGGGGAAGGCAACCCGCAACCTCCCACGGAATTCCCCATCGATTTCCTCCTTCTTTTGCCCGCTCGCAGAGGAGATTTCGTTCCTTTTCCTTCGCTTTCTTTCGATGGGGGGCTTTTTCCACGGACGCCCTTGCGCTCGCCGCCGCTGCCCCTCCCGCCTTGGAGACTCTCTTCCTTCCTTCCCCTTTTCCTTACGCAATATACAGAAATGCGCGAGGCGGTGGTTGGTTTTCATTTCTTCTTGGTGGTTGTGTGCATGCGGTGGGATTGTGAGAGTGCGTGTGTGAGCTGTGGCGCAACGTTGACTTCTTCCGAGTGTGGTCTTCTTGGCGATAGGTTGTGTGTCCAAACTGTGATGGTGTCTGCGCTGTTTGATATGTAGATTTGGATTCTTTGAGGCTCTTCTGCGTTTTCATCGTTGTATATAATTATGCTCGTTTGCCTTCTCGACATGGGTCTGGTTGTGTGTGTTGGGTTGCGTGACGTTTGCGATTGTGTTTAGGTGCTTTCGTTGTCGTGCTAGGCGTGTGTATTCCTGACTACGGTGGATTGTGCGTCCATGAGCGATTGCGTTTGACCGATTTCGTTGTGTCCCGCTGGACAATGTTGGGGCCTGACCCAGTCTGCTTGTGCGGCAGTGTTAGGCTGTGCTTAGTTTGCTTCCCTTCTATGGGGATGGACCTCCTGTGGCCCTGTCCGCACCGGGTTGTATGCTTGTGTGCTAGTGTCCTCTGGAAGTGCATTTGTAAATCGCTGGGGGGTGGAAGGGAGGGCGAGCAAACAAGAGATGGAAGCGCTAGTTGAGGAGGCGGCATGGGGGCGGGGAGAGGGATTTCACATTTTATTCCAAATTATGATGTATTCGGAAGCCAGTATTGGCTTGAATGGCAGACGGAGCCGGATCGGCGGCTGCTCTGTCTGGAGGTCAGTCTGTGCCTCGGTGTTGGAGGGGTCTGTTAGTTAGCGGGAGGCTCTTCCAGGCTGGAAGCTGAGCAGCGCTCGCGGAGGCCCGCGCCTTCAAGCCGGTAGCCGCCCGCTTCGGTTCCCGCGGCACTCAGGCTTCGTCCATTTCTGGTCAGTTTCACGGGTACAGCCGCCGGGGTCTGCGCGAGAGGCCTGGAAAAGACAATGAGCGCATTCTCCAGGCCTCGCGCCTCGGGTGGGGACCCTAGGGATCATCTCCAAGGAACATTTTCCCAACCCCTTCCCCGGTGAGCGACATTCCCGTGTGGGTCTGGTACCCGTCACATCGATGACCGGGGCCAGTCTTCATGGAGGGATGGGGTCAATGCTGCCTTAGCTCCGGAGGAAGAAAATATTTTGTTTTGCCAGTTACGGTGGTTGCTAATGTCATCATCATTATCATCATCTTTAATTAAAATCATCGTCCAGAAGCGAAACAGCTTGTCCCTTTTAGCTTCTTTGTAGCGGATAACAAAGCAGCACAGGTTTTTCCCCACCAGCACTGTTTTTTAAGTTGCTGGGTTTGAGGGTAGGGAGAGAAAATGGAGAGGGACGGACACAGAAGCTCCATCCTAAAGCAAAAATTAACCCCGACGTAAGACACCAGGAATGACCAATTCCTCCTTGTTCTCACCCCTCCCCCCATTTGGATTAAAAGAGGAGAAAGAAAATCTCCCTCATTGGATTGAAACCGCAGGGAAGAATTATCACTATATTTACACTAAAGCTGGGGCAAAAAGGAGGCAGCCTATGCAGTTTATCCAAGACTTCGATGTGTGACTATAAACTGGACGATTTAGGCAAAACAAATTAAACAAAAACCTCCGGAGGAAAAAAAAGGCCACCTAAATTTCTCTATCGCTACATCCTGAGAAGTGGTATTGGCTTTATTTTTACCTTCTCTCTTTTCCTTGTTTATTGCTGCAAGGAATTACTAGAATTCTCCCCTGCTTGGCCGATCTGAACCCCGAAAAATCGAAAATCTTTTGTAGGGATGGTTGAGGGAAAGGCGAGGGCTCTTTCTTTTCTATCCCCCCCTTTTTTCCTTAATAAGTATGAAGAAAAAAAGGGAAGTCGATAGATCAGAGATCCCTCCTGTCCCCCCAGTTTTCTCGAATCTGCGCCGTTCAGACTGTATCCCTTCGGGAAAGTAGACTCTGGAATTGGGTTCTGGTTTCGCTTTGGGCTGGAGTTGGGTAGGTGGGGGGTCATGGACAATGGAGGCCTTGGGGACTCTGTCCCACCGATCAGGGTCTAAAGACTAGATTCCCCTTTTAGGACAGGCATCCCCCTACCCACCAGGCTAGGTTGCGGACGACTCCGCGCTGTGGCCACAGCTCCAGCCTGACTCGATTCCCGAGCCAAGCGAGTAGACGAGTCAGTGCTTAGAAACAAACAGCCACACTGAGCCAGACATCCCGGTTGGAGAGTGCGATAATGTTCCAGGCAGTGTGCGGCAGGGCTGTTGTTGTTGGACTAAATAGTTATTCCTGATTGGTCAGGTGTAGGGTTCTTTTTTATCGGGGTACAGGGTCGGGGAGGCTTCAAACACCTGCAGGTTAGGGGTGGAAAGCTGTTGGCATTGGTGATCCCCTGGGCTGGTTGGCAAGGACATGAGGTAATTCCCAGCCATTGACCCCCATTTCTCTCTCTCCCTCCCTCTCGCCCTCCCTCTTTCTCTCCACCCCCATCTTTCCTGGAAACTCGCTTTGGGCGCGGCAGACCGCCCAGGACCACACCGTGGCCTAACTGCCGGTCTTTCTGCGAGAAAGGGGGAAAGCAAGGACCCCCATCCACAACCTGGACCTCAGCTCCTGTCCCTCTCCGCCGGAGGAGTGGAGATCCTATTTAGAGGGGCCAGTCTCTCTAAATATGCCCCAGGTGAGTTTGAGGGGAACCTATTGGTGGAAACAGTGACCAGGAAGGCCTTGGGGTCTGGCCTGGGGTGGGGAAGCTCAGGACAGAGGACAGTTCAGTCTCAGATTGGGGAGGGGGAGGGGAGGACGAACCCAGAGCTGTGAATCTGGCATCTGGCTCTGCCGCTGACTGTGGCCTCTGTGCCACTGTGGCTTCCAGAAGAGCCCTTTCCTTTTTCAATCCTTAGTAAAAACAGCTAGTTTGACTTAGTTCCCCATGCCACTCCCCTCTGTCTTGGTTCTGCGGACATTTCACAAGGCTCATAACTTTGGGACAGCTATATCCGGGTAGTGCAGGCATAGTGCAGGCTGCGCACGCTGGACTCCGGCAGGAAGAAGGCCGCAGCCATCCTGGCTAACGCCGTCCCAATTCGGGTGGGTCCTGACCAGGTCTAAGATCTAGGGCGGGCCATGCAGGAACACCCCTCCACTCCAGCAGCAGTAGCAGCGGGCAAGTGGTTCTGTTCACTGGCGATTCTGGTTCTCCTGCAGACTTGTGAAGGCTTGGGGCTCCCCCAGGGGGTGGATGCATTATGAGGGACAGGAGTCTGGGTCTAAGGCGGTGCCTTTGGCCGGGACATGGCGGAGGCTGTTTTCCTATAAGAAATTCTCCTAGCTGGGAATTGGAAGCTCCAGGAGACCGAGTGCCTGTCCCCCAGTAGCTCTTGGATTCCCCTGTCTTGTTCAGGCACACACAGAAATGTTCTGACTGGCTGGCAACAGGAGATGGGGAGCCAGTGTAAGGGGCTGTGAGCTGCGTCTTGGCTGCACAAAGAGGAATGTAATGGTCAAATTGTCTGGTGCTGTTGGGTTAGAAATTTTCTTCCCACTTCTCTCATTTTCCCCAATAAAAACAAATAAACAAAAATCACTCAGGCTTTCCTTTCAATAATCTTAACTGAAGCCATGTGATGGGGTTTAGTCACTGACCACCGAAAGTACTTGTGAATTCTCTACTGGCTTCCTTGGGAGCCTAGACCCCTGGCTTGGGTGATCCTGGTTGCAGAAGGAACCAGGTTTTCCTGAGGTCCTGGGAGGGGTGGGGCGAGGTTGACCACAGACCCTGGGGACCAATCATAGGTTTCTCATGGGAAGCGTTAGACATATAGATATTTATAAGCATCTGGAGAGGGCATTTGGGGCCCAAGTTAACTCATCTCCCCTTGCCCTATGGGGACCTGCTTCTACTCAAAGCCACGGAATTAATCAGAAGGTATAAATGTGTCCTAAGGAGAGCTTGAGCTCATTCTGGCAACTGCAGAGTGAACTGTTTGTCACTCAGTTACAAGCTGGGCCTGAAGCACATGTCACTGGGCGCACAAAGGTATCGGTATCTGGGGACAGTAAGGTAGGGAGCCAGCCTCTTAAGGCCTGTATATTTCACCAGAGGTTGGTCTATTTCTAGTGCATTTCACTGTTGCAGCAGAGTCAAGAGGTCTCCACTGGTATACCTCTGGTGCATTTCTAGTGGCTGCAGTGTCTTGGCAGTCCCATTCTATGGATACAGATCTATTGTTTCCACCATAATTGTAAACTCACTTCTAATGAAGTGTTGAAGACCCACTGCCTTTGCAGCGTGGGTACACCAGGTCTGGGGGAATTTTGTTGTTTCCGGGAAGAGCCCATGGGGCTGGCAGACCCAGGGCAGGAGCATAATCTGAATGGTGATTCTCTATCAGCTGTGTGTCTGGTAGCAATTGAGTAGCTCCGGAGGAGGTTTCAGAAGGTCCTGACTCTCTTCTGGGGTGGGAGGATGGTTCCCAGGCTGACTCCCTTTCAGAACGGGTACAGTGGCAGAATGGCTGCCATGAGTGATTAGATAGACTCTGCTTGGGGCTGAGTTGGATTTTTCTGTATTTGTTTTCTGCTACAAAATACCCCGATTATATAATTCCGACAGCAGAAACTATTTTGAACATTTTATGAAACCTGTCGAGTTGATTATATACATACATATATATATTTTTTATTAAAACAACTCATAAGCATTTCCACAATTGGACCCAGAGGCTCTTAGTTTTTCCATTATCATTCATGCCAGGTCGGGGGTGTGAGAGGAGGTTGGCTCCACCAGCACCAAGGTAGGGTTATGGAAGAACTGGAGGGAGCAGTAGTGGGGAGTGGAGCCTCTGCCTGGGGTCACCCTGGAGTATGGTTGTGGAGTAGAGGAGTGTCCTTGGGTTGAGGGGGTGGTATATATGGGAAGATGTATATGGGAAGGTAACAAAGACAGAGCAAGATGGGAGTTCTGGTCCCACTCTGTGGCAAACAGGCGAATGTGACCTTGGTCAAGGCAGTCCCCTTGCTGGCCCAGTCTCTCTGTCAGTAATAATGTTTACTTGAGCATTTGCACAGTGCTTTTAAATGTATAAATGAAGTATTCCTCCTATTTCCCAGAGGACAACACGGAGGCAGAAGAGAGGGAAAGGAGAGTGCTGGAGGAGTTCAGGGGCCTTCATGACACCCCCCCCCCCACTTGTGAGTGGGAGCCCAGACCGCAGTGTCTCAGGAGCACCCTTTGAATGTCCTGGCTCCACACGCCTCAGCGGTTGAGCAGTCTTCTCTTCTAGATCCCACCTCACTTCTGAGTCCAACTGAGCAGAAGGAGGTAGAGTGTGCAGGAAAGTAGGGCCTGGATCATCCTCCCTTCCTGTTGTTCCATCTCTGGTCCCTGGGGGAGTAAAGAGCCATTGGGGTTTCCAGTGGCTGCACAGAATACAGGTCGATTTACTGAGTATAGACGGACACCCCCCCTGCAAGGGTGTTGAATATGTGTTAAAAGGGAGAGCTGGTTCCTCCCGATAATTTTCTGCCAGCTCTGATCCCTCTAGCACCCCTCACCAGGTTTCTGGGTGTATGTGTGTGATGGTAGGCTGGGGGCGGGTATCACTGAGAGGCAAGTAAGGTTCAAAAAGCACTCCACCTCTGCGCAGCAGGTTGCCCCGCCAAAACCAAAAGGGGTGGTGGGGAGAACTTGGTGGGGGATTTGTTCCCTCCTCTTCCCTTGCGGCCTGAGAAGGGGCACGGGGTGATATTTCTTTCTCACCTCTTTCTACATTTCCTTCCTCCTTTTTTCCACTCTGTTTTTCTTTGGCCGGCTGTATTCCTTTTCTTCCAGTGTCTCTGTTGTCCTTCTCCATCTCTGTCCTTCCTGTCCTCAGTGCCTGTGTCTCCCAGGCACCCTCCCCTCTTCCTCCAAAGCAGAGACCCCATTTCCTTTTCGCCCCAGCATCGCGGGTGGATGGATGTGTGTGCACGTGGCGCTAAGTTTGTCCGCCTTTTCTCAGGGCTCGGCGGTGCGTGGGTTTCTCTCTCTGCCTTTCACCCACCCCCAACCCGTCCCGACCCCACCCCACGTGTGTGGGCTGGGGGCGGTGGTCAGAGCGGGCGTCCGCTTGTCTGTCTGTCTGCCCGCAGGATGACCGAGCGGCCGCCCAGCGAGGCGGCACGCAGTGACCCCTCGCTAGAGGGACGGGACGCGGCCGAGGCCCGCATGGCCCCCCCCGCACCTGGTCCTG